CCCCACCCCCCTTAAAAGTTTACTAACGAGTTTATCTAATGACACGTTCTGCATAATTCATAAACATGTTTTTTTCTGCCGTTTGGATATTGGAGGAGAGGCACTAGCAAGTGGGCTGTTTTTGGCAAATCCTATCGTCAGTGATCTTAATCAATGTTTTATTTTAAAAAAAAAAGAAAGAAAAAAAAAAGAAAGAAAAAAAAAACATTGGACCGGATTCGGAAAGACGTGAAAAGAAAAACGTTGAGTGAGACCGGTCAACAGGAAATGCTTACTTCTCCTAGGCACCTGATCCCACCTCTGGAATTTCCGGCGATCCGCGGTAATGCCCTGTTCACAGATTTGTATTGTTTGTAAATTATTAAAGATTGATCACTGTTCGTTATCTTCACCTTTTTCATAGCGTCACTTCTGCAGGGTTTCCCTTCTATTAATTGATAAATCTATAGATAGATAAATCTATTTACCATTTGAATCTGTTTCTTAACAAATTGATCTAATTTGTAAAAGCTGTCCGATCCATGCTGTGCTTGATCATACTAGATAAGAAAACTGGTAGGCAAACCACTACATTATAAATAAGAGTCCAAATATTGGAAGGCACGATCGACATCGTAGTGCTGTCTTTTATACTTTAGTTTATATACACAACGTGTGCAATTTGTAAGTTGGACACCTTTTTATCATTTCAACTGGCATGGATTACCTCGGTATTTTACCTCAAAATGCTTTCAGATGTAATAAAATTTCGGATACATTTGACAGCCGATTGGACACTTTTCTATGGATATAAAATGATGCGCATGCCTATGCACAGTTTTATAGAAGAAAGGGGGATGGGGGGTCCGGAGTTATTCAATTTCAGAGCTGTTAAGATCTGTATAAAAAATAAAAGGTGTCCGCAGAACCCCCCTCTTCACAACGGACCGTTCTAAGTTGGTAAGAGGAGTCTATTAAAATGAAAATTGTAACCCCTGCCCCTTTTAAAGAAATATTTATATTTTTTAGCTCACCTTAGCCGAAGGCTCAAATGAGCTTTTTTGATCAAAATTTGTCCGTTTTCTGTCGTCGGTGTCTCTGTTGTCGTTGTTAACTTTTCATAGTTTTATCGACTTCAATTTTAACCAAACCTGCCACAATGCATCCTTAGGTAAATGGAATTCAGGTTTGTCCAAAAAAAAAAAAAAAAAAAAAAAATCAAAATAAGTTCAAAAAATAATGACATCTTCTCCTCAAAAACAGCTACGCCAGAATAGTCTTAACTTGTGTGAAAGTTTCTTTACATAGCGTAGATTCAAATTTGTTCAAATTATGACCCCCCCGCAGATAGGGCGAGACGACAACAGAGAGATCGAATTTATACACAGGAACATACAGGAAAAACATTCTTCAAGGTCATGATAAGTAATATTAATACAGAAGCATCCTGAGGTCATGTAGATTCAAATTCGCAGCTCTGTTAAGGCTGCATAAAGGGGGCGGGGCCTAATTTATACGGTAAAAGTTTACTGTGACATCACACAAATATAGCAATTCCTCACAATAACAGAAAATGAAATAGGCCTAATTTGCGAATCTCAACTGCATAAGAGTAATGAACTACATCAAAACTTATCACTGCATTCATTTTTGTCGCTAGTTAAATCCCACACAGCGAGATATAAACAAGTCACTGATCGCAATGCACTTGTCGACATGACGTCATCATTGAAAGTTTGACGCATTTTATGTGCAGTGAGAGGCGGATCAAGTAATTTTTTCACAGTGAAAAATGCATTTTATTATTAAACAGAATATTACTTGCAAATCTTAGGTAGACCATTAATACAAATCTGAAACGTTTGTTTAGTGCCATTATTTAAAAAATGTCGAGAGAATGTATTGAATTAATTCTACCGTGTTTTTGTCTAAAGGGTGTGCATGTTTCACGCCGAGGTGCCTCATTAAATCGCCTTTTCGCAAGGGCATGCACTTAATAGATCGGGACCATTTTTGAATACACATAACGGACATATTCCTTAACATGAAAAGTGCTGCTGCTTTCCTGAAATCGATAGCATAACTTAATAAATACATAAAATACTTGGTAAGAGTCACACATATTTCGACATTAACCAGATAACTTGAAATTTAAACTAATAAAATGCGAATTCTATTTAAAGCAGCAGCACTTTCCATTAACCACAAGTCATGTAGAAACAATCCATTACTTTAATTTTTTTAACTAGGGTATGCCCTTGCGATATTGAAATTTGTTTGTGACCTAAATACAGTACACATTACATGCATTTATCACGTGACTGTCAAATAACGTGACCAAACCAAATTCAGTACAGAGCGGGGTATACAATGTTATTTCAAAGAATGTTAAAGTCATAAGGTAATATAGTACCTTTACAAAAATAAATTCAGTTTAAAAAGGTATGTATTTATGCACGTTTATATTCTGTTGATTTCTTCGAAGTACGCCTTAACAGTGCTGCGTTTGTTCAAATCATGATCCCCGGGGTAGGATGAGGCCACAAAAGGGAATCAGACTTATACATAGGAATATATGCGAAAACTTCTTAAAAATCATCTCCTGATGACCTGCAAAGCCATGATTAGTAATATCAATACGAAGCATCCTCATGTAGATTCAGGTTTGTTCAAATCATGACCCTGTGGGTAGATTAGGTTCACAACAGGGGATCGAAATCCTACACAGAAACATATAGGAAATATCTTTAAAATCGTCTTCTCAAGAACAGCAAAGTCATGATTTCGTTAAAACAGAAAATCATCAGGTGATGTAGATTCAAATTTGTTCAAATCATGACCCCTAAGGTTAGGCTGGGGCCACATTAGACGATCAAAGTAAAACATATGAATATACATGTGTAGGATTTTTTTTTAGAAATTTCCTCAAGAACAGTAAACAATGATTATATTAATATGATCATATTAATATGGAAGAAAGTTTGATCAAATCACCAGTTAGGGTTAGGGTGGGACCACTTAATAATATATTTAATCTTTTTAAGTACTGAACTGATAATTGCTTAATACTTATAAAAGTGATCAGGTTAGCAATGTGTTCCACGGCTTCTTGCTCTTCATTTTCCATTTTTGGTAGTGAAAAAAAATCTGAATCGTATTTTTTTTAAAAATGGGTATGCCCCCCCCACCCCCTCCTTCTGTACAGACTTAAAAGTGCCTCTATATGAGCTCTTTTCAATAGGTTAAATACTTCTAGTATTCATGTATCGCTTCTTACACACTTGTAAAACAAACATCGTAAAAATGATGTCCCATTCATTCCATTAGTTTTATTCCTTGAAGTCTTCACTCTTTTTGGCACTGTACATGATTAAAGAGTATCACAGTCTAAGCTGACTACGAAGAACAGGAAGTCTACAGAAGAAGAGGAAGGGGATTTATCGTAAAAGGCTAATATAGAAGACAAAAATGAAACGAGAGAGAGAGAGAGAGGGAGAGAGAGAGAGAGAGCTTTTTGTTTAAGAGTAAGTTAGTTAACGTCTATTGACAACTGAATTAAGAACACGAGATTTTAACCGATTTTTAACGCATAAATACCATACATTTCATCCTTTAGAATATCGGTGTGCATGTGAACAAATCAAACTCATTCCGCTTTAGGTTTATCTACAATGCACATAATTTTTGCGAATTGTATGCATTTATATTTATATTTTTGTTTATATATGAAGAATCTGAGGGGAAAAGTATTACGTTCAACATCTAGTACCAGAAAAAAATTGAAAATTGATCTCGACACTTTATTATGAAATTATTTTGACATTTTTTTTTTAATTTATCTGTGCTTAGTTGACTACAAAAACGTTGAATTCTGAATCTTTCTTTGATGTAGTTAAGCCATCGTCACAATGTCGAAGTTTTGAGAATTCGGAACTCCACACAAATCCTTGACATAAGTCCTATTTAAAAGTTGGGCTTGTGGTTACACATGACCTAATGGGTAATTATAGACTTACCGATGAGAATATATTTTTTGAAATCCGTCGTTATCAAACTGCCCAACTCCAGAGCATATCTTTTGCGATTGTAAGGAGGACGTTCTTCAAAAAATTAATCCTTGATGTTACATTTAAAGTAACTAGTTACAAATCATACAATATTGACACTTTCCATTTTAAAGACGATTCATAATTGTTTTTTTAAAACTCACCTTCAATAAAAGCTGTTTTCTGATTGGTTCCAGTCCTAGACCAGGAACAAATAAAACAGTAACTTTCTAGCCCAACTTTTAAATAGCGACTTATGTCAAGGGTTTGTGTGGAGTTCCGAAATCACAAAACCTTGACATTGTGAGGATGTAGTTAAGCATGAATAAAAAGAACGTAATTTTAAATTGTATATCAAATAACACATGTAAAATTTGAGCTAATTATATTCTACATCTAAATGGTTGACAGATTACGGATTAAGACTTTACTTCAATTTTTGATAGCTCAATGTTCATAAAATGTAAAGTTCATATTGCCAATTGAGTACCTTTTAGATACATGTATTTTGCATTAACATGCAGATATGTAACATTATTGTCTCTGCAAAGTTTGGAATTAGTACTTGAGTGTGGTCACTAGTAGTCTTCTAACTACTGTTCAAAGTTTTTTAGCACTTTTTATCTTCATCGTTATATTTGGTGCTGCGCAAGCACTTAAGACGGTGGCATCTGTGGGAAAATAAATATATATATGTAGAGTAGCATAGCATTGTGCACTACAATATAGCGTACGATATGCTGTGTGAAATCATACTTTAAATTTATCCAAAATTTTTGAAACATTTTGATGGTTCGTGGTTCTAAATTTTTATATGGTAATGTGATAAACATTTATACAGACTAAAATAATGCCTTTTTGATATAGTGCTATACAGATGAAAAAAATTGCAAATGTAAATATATATTCATTGCGAACATCATTCTGCTACTTTAACACTTTTAATGTTCCTATCTTTTGTTTTCATAATTTCAGGTAAATACCATAACTATTCACCGGAAATCAGATGTCTACTGTATTGCTTACTGTTAACTGAGAAATATCAACTGAATCTCAATGAACAATCACACAGAATCACAAGGGACAAAATCAGAGACAGATATTTCCATGATATTGCTGAGGACGGCTTAGTAGATCCTCCTGATGGAATCACAGAAACACAAAATGGTGTAATAACATTTACATCAAACGATATCCGCCATGACGTCATGTACGCCTTTGTCACGGAGTGTCTGGTGGAGGACAGCGATCTGGAGTTTTTCCTGACCACGGCGTCACGTGTCGTTATATCAGAATACTGCAGGTCCTGGGAATATAAGAGAAGTGAGGGAGAGAGATGTCTGTATGTACCGAAGTGGCCGGAGAAGATGTACGACCTCTTCATAGACAAACTACAGCTGGACATCATCACACACTGTACCATGTCTGACGGGTGGATTCATGACAGTATTAGTGAACGTGGTAAGTATTTCTGTACACGTAATAAATATATAATGATTCAAATGTAAATTATTCATTACGATTTGATAAGAATTAATGGTAACCTAGATGGATTGTTTGAACATAACAATCAAACAGTACACGTTAAAGACACTTTTATACACAGAATGAGTAACTGAATATAATTCAAATTATTTTGAAATTGTACTTGTTTTTTTTTTTTTTAAATCATCTAAATTTAAATTGTATCATGTAAATGTCAATATTCTAAGCTATGGAAAAAAGTTTATTTTGAACACGATTGTTTCTCACAACTTACTCAAAAAATTTATACTTAACAGCATGTATTTTACACGGGATAAACTCCAGAGAGAATAATTCAGCTCTTACGCACCACAATATAACTATTAAAAACATTCAAAAAACTCTTTCAAATTCTGAGGTAAAATGAACATTTTTTTTTATTTACACTTCATTTTAGTATAATGAAATAAGAAATCCAGCTTCATCTCTAACACAAACTTAAGGAAAGTGTTTTAACACCCTACCAACAAATGTGCATATAGTGTACAGATCAGTGTAGAAACCATGTCAAAATTTGATTATTCGTTGTTAATTTTCAATTAAAGAAATAGTCAGAATGTATGTTATTTCCATAAAAGTACCCGGCGTTGACATTAGTAGTATATCATTTCCTTGAAGTTTAATTTCATTAATGTAATTCTAAATATAATTATTTAAAAAAAAAACATAAAATTATAAGGAATAGGAACCTTTCCAATCCCTTCTGGCTCTAAAAAAAAAATAATTAAAAGTTACTTTTAAATTTCATGGGTATACATGAGCAGTACATGTATGTCCATTCAAACCCAAAGTTTAAATGCTTGTGTCGTTTACTAATAATTGAATTATTAGAAATTCAAATAATGAGTTCACGACAATAATATATTTTCTGGATTTATTACGCATTTCTTTCCGACTGCAGTTTGATTCCTGATGGCACAACGGTCCGTTTCCAACTGCTTAACAAGTCTGTGACTTCAACGCCAATAGTTTTTGGAAGTCCAATTGTTTTAATTTGTCGTGGTTATTACTGTTGATCGTCACAGGCATTTGTTTTACACTTTAAGATGAAAACGGTGGCTATGAATCACGATGATCATCACGCAGGCATTCCCGTCGAATATGTATAAGATTTGATCGGAAACCATCATTGGAAGCTTTTAAAATTTCGTTTTCTTCTTTAGGTTTTCGGTTTTCCGACACAAGACGAATTTATGTCTTTGTCGGACTGGCTGGCTTCAGAGTGGCAATGGTTTTTTTTTTCATATTTTGTGCAGGTTTTCTGGTGACTGGAAATAATTTCTTCCGTTTATCTCACTAGGTCGTTTCAAGAGTTCAGTATTAAAAGTAATTGTTTGTACAACTTGTCATTAGTTGTAATGGTATCTTCCTGTTTTTGAGCTGTTTCGATTGCTCATTGTATTTAGTTTTGATCGCTTTCAATTTAGTTTTCAAGTTACCTCCAGGGTCCATAAACTGCTGAAATGCTGACCTTAATGACGAAAGGGGCAGCATTCGCATGGAGTTCTAACTATCCAGTTGTTCCTGTAGACGCCTTTTATCACTCTGATGTATTTTGGCAGGTTTTTGGGGTTTTGGTGATGTTCGTTTGGAATGGCATACTCGTCTAAAGTGTCCGAAATTTAAACACTTGTGACACTGCTTTCCAATGGCATGGCACATACAGTATGGGTGACTTTTTTCGCAGCGTATGTATGTTTCAAATGGGTTTAGCACATATGGACAAGTCTTAAAACTCCGCTGTATCCATTGTGGTCTGAAAGAATACACGATTTTCCTAAATATCCGTGTTACAATTGGGGAAACTAGAGTCACTTGCTTGGCATTATTTAGAGAGATCCGAGATCCATGTTGAACACAAGATGAACATATCCTCTGTACTCCACCAGTAAAGTAACGTATTTTCAACCCGGCCGATGGCGCCTCTTATCCTAATGCTTCAATTGCTTTTGATAAGGGGAAGCCGTTTTACTATAGACAGAAATAAAGATGTTCAAAACAACTTTGGATATTTTCTAGATTTCCACAATCTATGTTTGCCTCAGGAATATTAGAATTCCCAACAGAGAGTTTTATATCAACCTAGTTTTAATAAATCTGAGTCAGTAAGGTATGGATTCCCGTCTGGTTTTTTTTTTTTTTTTTTTTTTTTTTTTTTTTTTTTTTTTTTTTTGCAATTGTCCATCAACCTTCGAATATCATCATCCTTTTCTCTGATGAGGTGAAAAGAGTTTCATAAAATTTTATTAAGAATAGAGTGGTGTTATTTGGGGAAAAAAAATAGAAAAATACTTGAACAAAACACCAGTTTATACGGAGGATGGGATACAAAAGTAAAACGATGTTACCATTTCGTAGAATATAGGTACAGTAATAAAGTAAAGCGATCTCTAAACCATTTTATATGAAGATATCGAAAATGATAAAAGAGTTCATTTTATATTTTTGAGGCTCTAATAACTATACGTGCATTTTAAACCTGATATTGAAAAATTAATAAAAGCTGTCAAATAACATGGATTTCCTCCTAAAACTGAAAAAATGTACTATTTGTGTTCCGAATTACTGATTTCATATGATACAGTTGGAATCCCTTATGAAGTACTTGGATGGCACCAGGAGGCCAGAGAGCGGTATGTGGAGTACGCTAAGAGAGGAACACAGACAGTTCATCACGCCCGGGGGATGATTGTAGGATGTGCTGGGGCAGGGAAAACCACGCTACTTAAACGTCTTCTGGGATTTAGTGAAGAGGAAGTTAAGAAAGTAGAATCTACTGAGGGGTTGGAGGTGCACGAGGAAATATTTACTATATGTGATGAATTAAAATCATTAAAAGGTAACACATATGTTTATGGTTTTCCATCTTATGTCTTTAAGAGAGAGAGAGAGAGAGAGAGAGAGAGAGAGTCAACGCTCTTAAACAAAACTAAAAATATGATTACTTTAACTTGTGCTTAATCATGCAAATAAATTACTTTCAGCGTTGTAAGTTTACCACTTGATTTCTTAAAAGAAAACATAATTAGTTCTTACTTATGAATTTTTAATAGAAAATCAGAAGTACCCCCTCATTGCTTCTGTAATGTATAATATTTCCAAAATATTTTCAAAATGTGAGGTATGCTGATTTAGAAAATAGAAATACTGATCATGTGATGATTTTTTTAGCACAGAATAGCAAGGACAAAAATGGGGAAAAATATACAAGTTTTGACGCAGCAAAGACGTTGACATTCTTTGACTTCGGAGGACAGTGTGTGTACTACGCCTGTCACCAGATTTACCTGACCAGGAGAGCTTTCTATGTTGTGGTGGTGGACGCTTCTAAACGTCTTGACCAGGAGGTTGATAAGAAAGTGTGTGATCAAGATGGGAGCGTGTTCGCTGGGTGGACATATGGAGGTATACTTTAACAAAGAAACATTGATTTCATTTTTTTCCCATTTCATTAAATATAACATGTTTGATTTTCATATATGTGCCGTTAAAGAGATAATTTTTTTCGGTAAATCATTTTAGTGTGTAAATGATTACATGTACTGGACAAAAACAAGGATGCATTATGATTGGCCATTTATGCCTGGCCAGTTTATGTCAGTTTTCTTATTTTTTGTCATCTACATTTGCGCTCAAAACATTTCTAAAAGCACAATCTTTTACAGCGCTCTAATTGGCGACTAATTTAGATTGGCGCCTAAATTTCTTTGTAAGTCGTCAAATTGGCGACCACTTTAAATTGACTTGGCTTATCATCGCCAAATTCCGGAACTGAAAACATTTTCAAGATTTTTTTTATGAAGAAGCGAAAAGAAAGTTTTAAGTTGAGAAAATCTTTTTTTAGCAATGTGTTTTTGTTGTCACCTTGTTTGTTTATACAGAACGTGCGAACGAAATTTCGCATGGCACCTGTGCACACAGAGCTCAGGTAGACCAGATAAGACAATAAGTTGCTCCAGGTAATTTTTGATTCCAGAAAATCGACAATTGTGAAACACAGTAAAGTCTACGGAAGAAATTGTCCATTATTCGCCAATTAATAAATTTTCACTCATTAGAGTTATCGTTAAGACATAAATGTTAGGGCATAAAATGTAAATCGTATAAATTAAAATTCTTGATATTATAATAGTTTTAAAGAATATTTCATAAGATTCAAGTTTTTTTTTTAAAGACTCCGGACAGTGTGGTTAAGTCGATTGAGTCTTACAGTACATGATCAAGTTATAACCTTTTGGAATTTAGTTGGTTTATATTTCTTGTTGATTTTTTTCTTTAAGATTGCAATAGTCTTCCCACCCCACCCCACCCTTCCCCAGGCCATGTCACCCCAATGAGTCAGTATATTGACTAATATTAGCTTTTAAAATTGGCACCTTAGTACATGTAAAATATGCCTGGCGACTAGAAATTTGCATTGGCGACTAAATATTTTTCTATTCGGAGCCAGCTGGCGCTTAAATTTTAGAAGTCACTTAGAGGATTGTATTTAGTTCTTATTGATAGGAAACCATGCATTTTACAATTTTTTCTCCATTGTAAACAAAGAATAATGTACTCAGTCAATCGCATATAATCAAGCAATACTGGAACAAAAACAAGATTTCCAAAAACAAGACTACACTTTTAGGATATCCCTTAATCATTCAAATTTTTCATTTGATCTCAATTTTTCATTTCGATCACTAGCAACAGGGGCAACAGAACATATTATAATTTTCATAAATGAAAACCTAATCCCTTTTTGGGGATGGGGTGGGGTAGGGCGGTGGTGCTGATTTCTATATAATTGAAAAGAAAGAAAGATTGCATTTTTTAACTTTATGTAAATTGTTTGTTTTATAATTTTACCTAAAAAATGCATATTCTAAATTGAGGACACAGATAAACTGCTTTTGTTTATCGCAAGGTAATCCTAGTTATTCGTAAAAAAAAAAAAAATACAAAAAAATTTTAGTACATAGGTCACAATCTTAATTTAAAAAAAATCAGCCTTGAAAAACACTTTTTGCTAATTAATGAGAAAGAGGTTAGTTTTCATAAATTCCTAAAATTTTCATTCAATATTAGGAAAATTCAATTTTAATTCACCTTTGATTTATATTTTTATAGTCCTTCAACAATATAAATTAGTATTTCTCTCTTTGTCTGGCGGGATTTTGAAAAGAATATAAATGTAACTTTTTCTTTGGATATTGTACATGCATGTGTTGTGTTGTAATATTTTGTTCTTGCATTCTTCTTCACCTTCACATATCTCTTGACTTCCGGATGTTGTTGGTGCACCTTTGAAGACGTGTCCACAACTTCCATCCATCTGCCTCTGTTTTTCCTGCTCTGAGATTCAGCCAGGCTCAATCCTGTCTATAATTATTATTATCTCTCGAATTTTTTTTTCTGTCTTAATTCCTCGTCTCCATCCTACTTCAAATGTTACTTGCAGGATTGTCTTTGCAAGGCCTCTTGAGCGGGAAACGTGGTCTTATCACTTAAATTTACTCTTCTTGACACAGTAAGGAGGTCATCTTGCATTCACTATCAACAAAAATTATTGCATATATGATTGGGCCCTTGAAAAAAAGTGCTTATGGCAATATTACATATTTTGAGTTTTTCAAGGTTAGAAGTTGTCAAATGTGATTTTTTATGGTTCGACTCCAACTCTAAGTAAGAAGGGTTATCAAAACGTTCGTGGACTAGCACTATGAAATTAAGCCTCTTAAGGTACATCAATGAATTTTTATACATTTCGTTAGCGTTATCTTTTCTCTCTATATGATAAACTATAAGTCATAAGTTTTATATTTCAATGAATTGCTGATGTTTTTGTAAGCCATGGTATGCCCAGGTGGCGCAACCTCGAAGATGACGTTTTCTCTACATGAGTGTTACTGAAAAAGAAAAAAAAACTCTTTTGATACGAGCATTGATCACCCAAAAATCACATTATTTAACATACATGGTATGACACAATTCTTCCGTAAAATTTGCAATTTTTACCTATATCTAAAGGTTCTATGAAATATTATCGTAAAATTTATATGAAATATTTAAACAATCACGGAGCTGAAATGACGTCAAAAAGAGGAAGGGGGTTTCGTTTTCCAACATTTTATACGTTTCACCCATGAAAAATTGGCATTGACCTTGGAAATGTTAAAAAGGGCTACAGAGAAATAAAATGCATCTAGAGTATTTGTTTTTAGAGCCGAAAAAGATTAGAGATATGAAAGATGCAAAGTTAATATCGATTTGTAGTCAGGGTGTTAAAACTTTCTCACATCGAAAAGTGACATTGATAATGTGTCATACATGTAGATATTGAACTTCGAAAAGAACTTTATGCTGTTTTAATCAAGTAAAACTATGAATAGATCCATTTACAATATTATGCATTGAAATCAGCTGTCCATGACATTGTAAAGTTATACAAAGAAGACAGGTTCAAGTCTTTACTTAAATCCAGGGAATTTCTTCAAAATAAGTGTATGAGGTATAGGGATCGGGCATTGAGAAACAATGACGTTTTTGGACGTCATGAAACTAAACGGCGACAGCGCCGGATGATCATATATATAAGTATAGAATCATTTTTTTGTTTCATTGTCTTTTTAAATAGTTGTTATAAGTAGTATCCATAAGTGGTATATGATTGCGAGTATTTGAGTTGTTTGTTTTACACTTAGCTCATGATGGGACGACAGGACATAAGACATAAGAATGGTGCGATTACCAGGCAAGAATTGTTTTGGAAACATGTTGGATTAATTCGAAAGTTATTTCATTTTAAATATGGCTCTCTATCAGCCAAGATGTTTATTTTGTTGTTTGAAATGAGTATAAATCTGACATATATTCCCAGATGCGAAAATAAAAACAATAAACTAGAAGCTACCGGGTAGAGTAAAACATATGTTTGACTTTTTCAAAATAGAAACATGACAAAATCAAAAAAAAAAAAATATTTACTATTATAGGAAAAATTTAAGGGTATTCAGATGATACACTTTAGATACAACAATTATTATGATTTTAATTGAAACAATATGCTCTTACTATAATTCACATATCAAACTAGCTGGCAAAATTAATTTTAATTCACAAATTTGCATGCATTAATTAACGTTCAAGGATTTTCAGTGGTGATTATTTGGAGATTGGATTGGGTAGGTTGGGTGGAGGGGATTTCAAATGTTTACTGACATACTTATAATTAATAATCTTAAATGATAGTTTTCTTAAGGTGCGAACGCCATGATCCTAAAAAAATTAGTTAGAAATAGGTCAAATAATAGAAGATTGATTTTCCAATCTTTTTTGAACATTTATCTCCCTTCAAATAATCAAAAACAAGGTCCTTTCCATAAATAATCAGAGATCACAGGCTCCACATGCTCGGAGATAGCAACTTAACAATTATCTCTGACTGAAATGCACCCAATGTATGGCTCCCAAGAAAAACGACTGAATTTCTTTTGTGAAAATGGAATGATTTAGAAATAGACAAATAGTAGTTTCTGGAGATTTTGCTCATCATATAAAAGGAATAATCCAAATATCATGAAACTGTGAAATCATTCTTTTTTCATCTTTTCATTTATTTAAATCAAATAAATTTTCAATTTTATGAATCAGAAATAATCATATTTGTTGTTTTGATGCATTATTCGCGTTTTGTAAATTGCTGTTTAATTTACGGTCAAAGATTAATTTAATTGGAAATCAGACTTAATTATACCGTTCGTGTCCAGTTAAGTGTGTTTGGTATATGTACGTAACATTTCCTGACTGGCCAAGTTTTGAAATGATAAATTTTACAAAGTGGTACATGTAGGTAAAGTGTTGTTCATTGAAGGTGTCGAAAGGATTTTCAGAATTTCAATAATTCCTTCACCCTTCGCAGTTCCAAATGAAGTGTTTTAAATGAAATTCAACCCAGTTTTATGCCAGAGACATTGATATGCTTAGCATAAAATTTGACACATGTCAAAGTTAGTTCCGGTTATATGAAATCGCCCACCCCTTCAAACATACTGACGTCAGAATAAAAAAAATTAAAAGCATACTGTTCATGTTTTATGCAGTGTATTTGTAATATTTTATCACACATAACATCTGATTTTTAAAATTCTAAAGAATTATTTTACAAACAAATAAAGAACTTAAAGGAAAATCTTTTTAAATAATTCGATTGATTGATTGATTGTATGTTGTAGTACGTCCCATTCGAGAATTTTTCACTCATAAAGAGACGTCACCATATACCGGTGAAGGGCTTCAAATTTAGACCTTTACTCGGCATTCAGGCCCATTTAGCAGTGAGGGATCTTTATCGTGCCAACGCCTGCCGTGACACGGGGCCTCGGTTTTTAAGGTCTAATCCGAAGGACCCGCAACTTTCACTTCAACGTGCCGAGCGCATGGCGAAGGAGCAGTTGCTACCCATCGACTTACGTCAGTCGTGGCCGAGATTCGAACTCACGATCTCCTGATCACGGATCGAGCGCTCTACCGACCGAGGTACCGTGAACGGTTACATAATTTGAAGGCAAATTTAAGTTAAGCAATATTAATTTAAATCGATTACTGAGCTTACATTTATATATCATTGATTAAACATTTTATTAAAAAATAATATCACTGTCAGGACTTACATTGCGTAGATCGAGTATCGATCAAAAAGTTTATTTTTGAGTTCCCGAAAATGAATAGCCAAAGTTTAGAAAATTTAAAAAAAAATCATTTCATGTTTTGATAAACAAATTGCCTTGAAATTCCATCTTCTGATTAAAGTCCACATTTCTTAAAACAAATTACATGTAATAAATTGAACCCAATGTACCCTCTCTCTCTCTCTCTCTCTCTCTCTCTCTCTCTCTCTCTCTCTCTCTCTCTCTCTCGTATTAATTTTGAAATATTAAATTATTTATTCTGATTTAAAAGTAACATTTTATTTCATCCAACATATCTAAAAACAGAACTAAAGGTAAACGAAAAGAAAAACAACATCACCACCACCAACAACAAAAGCAAATAAACAAAATAAAAATCAAGATGTATTTTTGAAACACTGATGCTACCGTATGGCAACTTATAGCAAAGGTTAAACTTTCTCAAATCCAAATCAAATATGTTGGTACCCAAAGTAAGGTTTTGTCTCGAGGAATATACCTGTAAAATATGAAAGCCCAAGCAGCAACAATTAAATAGATATGGAAAAGGTTAATTTTTTTTTTCCAAAAGTAAGTCAAAAATCAAAGTAAAGGTCAAAATCAGTGATGCCCAGGGAAAGGCCTTCTCCCACGAAATACACAGGTGAAATATGAAAGCCAAACGGTTCAAAAGTTATGCAAATATTAGAGATTTTCAAAAATAGGTCAAACTCTAAGGTCAAGGTCAATGGATTACAATTGTTGGTATCCAAAGGAAGATCTTTCCACAAGGATTACATATATGAAGAATGAAAACCCTAGCACAAACCGTTCACAAGTTATGGCCAAGGTTAAAGTTTTCCAAAAGTAGGTCAAACTCCAAGGTCAATGTCAAAGGGTCAAAAGTTGTTGCTATCCAAAGAAAGGACTTATCACAAGGATTTCACATGTGAAGTATAAAAGCCCTACCACCAAGCGTTGAAAAGTTATGGCCAAGGTTAAAGTTCAGTAAAATTTTGCAAAGTTGGGTCAAACTCCAAGGTCAAGGTCAAAAGGTCAAATGTGATGATACCCAAAGAAAGGTCTTGTCACAAGGAATACACATGTAAGATATGAAAGCCATAGCTCCAACCAATCACAAGTAATGGGCAAGGTTAAGTTTTTGCACACAAACAGACTGACAGACAGACCGACGGACTGCGTAGAAACTCCATGTATGAAGCCCCGAATCTTCGATACGGGGGAATAATAATAATTAACTAACTAGCTAACTATCTTACTTACAAACAAATAAGAAAATAAAAACATTTAAAATGTACTGAAATTGAGGACCCTCTAAACATCAATGAAAAATTATTTTTGGATGCTGAGGAAGTAATATCGAATAAAAAAGAAAATATATAGCATTTTCATTTATTTTCAACATTGGGTACCTTCCATTTTCCTCCAGGAAAAATATTCAAAGACAATAAAGTGTTTAGGAGCTAGAATCACGGTGTCTATTCCTTACTTAATAGGAAAAGTACAAAAGTTCAATTAAATTGGGTAATAAATTTTTTATTCAATTTATTTTATTATCGGTCTAAGGAAAGATCCTTCTAACTGCATGAACTGCCATAAAACTGTTACCCCCCGTTGCAGATCGAGTTACGGTGAACGTCAAAGCAGATTTTTTTAACCCCGTGTTTTCGTTTTGTTTTGACACTAGCTTTTGCCTTAGATCTGAATGTTGATAATAATAATTTATTTTCATTCATATATTCAATTTTTATAATATATACATGGATACATATAACCTGGTTTGTCTCTGCAGAAACAAATAATTTAATATCCATAATTATTCATTATTCCGTAATTTAATATTTTTATTATTACTTTTTGAAATATTTTAAAAAGGAGCATTTTTATGTTTAATTGCAGACTACTTTGTATTCTGGATAAAGTCTATACATACGTACTGTTGTTCTGACAACGTAAAAGATACAAAACCAGTAATAATAATTGTTGCAACTCATTGGGAAGAAGGAAACAGACGGTTCAGGGTGAGCTTTATTTATCTAATGAAATTGATATTTACAAGATACCATCATGAAGATTTTCTTTAGATTTTAAAGAACTTAACACTTTTACATATATATTATTATAACAGTAACTTGATCCGAAGAGTCGTATCACGTCAAGTTGACGGGTGTGGATCATCAGATCAAACGAGACGGGAAGTGTCGAGTTTGATGTGATGATCCACGCCTATTAACGGAACGTAATACGACTCTTGGAGTCAGGTTACTGTGATAATGATAAATTTATTATATATCCCTCTATAATTAACAAATTGTGATAAAAGAAAACTTTTGGGATCATTATAGAACGTTTAATCATTAAACATTTTTAAGGAGCTTTTTTATATGCAAGAAGAAACATAATGTATACTAGCTGTGTACTACGTCATCATTTTCGGAGAGGGATGATATGGATTAAAAAAAAAAAACCACACTGAGGTGATCCGGAATGTCGGATCACACCGTCTTGTGATTGCATAAAAACAATAGTAAAATTGAGTGATACACAGTTGAGTATATAATAAAATTGTAAAAAATCTTTTAGTGATTACTAATAATTTCTAATGAATAAAATGCCTTTCACCATGGCACCGATTAGATAAATATATATATGTCTTTTTGGATTATTTGCTTATCATTATTGCAAGTATTTGAGAGACACTTAAATATACAATCAATTCATCAATTAAGATTCCCCTCCAATTTATATATATATATATATATATATATATATATATATATATATATATATATATATATATATATATATATATATATATATATATATATATATATATATAGATATATACTTTAAAAAATATGTATGACTCCAGGATCTTTTTGTATTGTTTGGAATAATGATTTATAAAGAAAGAAATAAAATCACAGTCCCAAATGATGTCTTAACAGAAAGAGAAAACAGACAGTATATTATACATGTAACCACTTGAAAATCAATCGGATAAATAAAACTTTTATCATTGTAGGATACAAAGGAACTGATTGGCAGCTTGCGGTTTCAGTTTCCAAAGTCATCTTATTTATCACAGTACATCACGGACCATAATGTTTATTGTACAGATTTTACTTTACCTCTCCATGATTTGGAAACATGTTTCTTCGATATAGCTTCCAAAAAAAGATGGAACGAAAACATTCCAAAAGAATGGTCTTTCTTTGAAATAGAAATTAACCAGAAAAAACAAAGAAAGAGAATCCTGAAAATCTCAGGAATAACGACGGAAGTACCAGAGATTACTGCTAAAGAGCGGAAATGTTCTGATAAAGCTGAAAAGGGAAAACAAGATATGCTGCAATATTTTCATGATGCTGGAAAAGCTCTGTATTTTAATGAAAATGGTTTAAACAAAGAAGTAATTATTGATGTACAATGGTTTATTGACGCCTTCAAACATATCATTACAGACGAAATACATTTCAAAGGCATTCTTGTGACCCAAGGTGACTGGGATGAATATTACAAAACAGGAAATTTGCGAGTGCGACTTCTTGAAGAGGTTTGGAAACATATAGATGAAGAGTTTACTGAAAAGCTCAAGAAAGAAAACCAAAACTATGAAAGTGAAGACGAAGACTCCGAAAGTGAAGACAAAGACTCCGAAAGTGAAGACGAATCATATGAGGAAGATGAACAATTTCTACAATGTCATAAGGAATCACTTCTCAATTTTATGCAAAGACTTGGTTTACTTGCTATTGGTACAGAATCCCACTATATTCCGTGCATGAATCGTAAAGAAATAGAAAGAGAACTTCTAGATCTCATCAACGAATCAGAGAGTAAATCATCTGTCCTTATTTATCAGTTTGAATTTCTGCCATTTTTCTTGTTTTTCCGCCTTGTTGTTGCTTGTATGCAAGAAGAGGGTTGGAATGTACTCAAAAATGAGGGTACATCTTGCCTATACAGGAACGCTGCTTTGTTTTCGTATATGGAATACAATATCCTTCTATCCGTAAATAAAGATTCTATACAGCTTCAAGTATTTCAACCGGTCGCAGGTTATGTTTTGGAAAGAGTAAAAACATGCAAAATACAAAGAAGAATAGAAGAAATGTTGATAAATCTTTCAGGAACATTTTACAGAAAGATACAGTTTGTCAGAGGCTTTAGGTGTCAAACTGACGAGGGAGGAACAATTGCAATGAATATCGAGAATCATTTTTTACCGAAAACAATGATTCCGAAAGAAGACCGCAAAATGGTGTGCCCTTTGCATTCGATTACTAATCGGCATATCATTGATACCACTGAGTTAACGAGATACTGGGAATTCACGAGAGAAGCGGTATCAGCAGAGTGCAAATAATTTTCGGAATTACAAATCGCTACCAACTTTTAAACTGTTTAACTTCTTTAAAATGATACACATATCACAGGTGGTTGGAAATTCCATTTCTGCATTGCTTTTTTTTTTTTTAATTTTTTTTCCCAAAATTCTCTTGGAATGACTTATTGTACTCATTGTATGTTAATGTATCTTGATGAGTTACAGATCAGTAGCCTTTTTCACAAAAATTCTTACGAGTAAGATTAAAATTTTACAACTCTGTAATTTCTTTGTTTAATAAAGAAAATTATTTTTTCAGAAGAATAATTCTCAATATACTGTAATGTAATAGAAATATAAAATTTTATGTAACTTACTACAATTTAGATACATATAGAAGAATTGGAAAATTTTAATCATAGTCGTAAGATTTTTTGTGAAAGGGGCTACAGGTTTGCCTTTCGTTTTGCTTCAGTGTTTTTGACGGAATTATGACCTTTCTGTTTTTCAGGGTTTTCTGCAATTTTTTTTCTAAACGTTTGTAGATATTGAGCTGATTTTTGGTGTGTGACTTTACCTTGATGAGTTATAGATCAAGTTTGCATTTCGTTCCACTTCATTGATTTTTGACGGAATTATGGCATTTTCAATATTTAACGGGGACCAGATTACACTTGCCGGTAGGGGACTAGTATTGCTAATGCAATACTCTCAGAATGCTTGTTATTTGTAAGAGTGAAATGAATTGAAAGTATGCTAATAAGAACTGTATCTTTATATCGTCCTGTGACACACAGTGTATTCTGTATTTAAAAAAAGAAAACCAGCTAAGATTATTTTACATTATGTAAACTTTATACATACATTGTGCATTATATGATTTTGCCATTAATCTTTAAAATTCAAATCAAATTTGCATTCACTTGCATGATTTATCTTGGTATTTTTCATTGTACAAAATATATATTTTTATTATGCTGATATCTACGTAAAAAAATATGTAAACATGTACGATAGATTGAAAAAAAAAGTATTTACGTTTACATTTATTACGGTATATCTTGCGATACCTATTGGTTTTATAATACTATGTTATATATATATATATATATATATATATATATATATATATATATATATATATATATATATATATATATATATATATATATATATATATATATATATATATATATATATATATATATCTATATATATATATATCTCCTATAATTTAAAAACATTACGTTGAAACTTAAACTATTTCAGTTATCTCACCACATCAAAAGTGTCATGGATATACATTCAAACATACAGACAGGCAGACTGACAAAGTGGTATGACCCTAAAATCTATGATTTGTGTTTTCCTTTTATAATAATATATTATTGTAACAAATTTGAAAACCTTTCTTTGAAAACTGTTGGAGCTGTAATATCTATCACAAAAAAAAGTGTTAACAGAAGAACGCCAGACAGATGTACAATGTGATTCCTATAGTGCTCCACAATTTTCACTGAGCCATTAAAAAATGTAATTATAATATTTGAAATATTTAAGAAAATGCAAGAATTATTACGGATGAGCTACAAATGAAATATATAGTTCACAAAACTAAAATCAATAGTGAGCAATTAATATTATTATTACGACCTACTGGTACGTTTTAATATAAAAAGTGCCCGGTAATTTCTAAGTTAAAGCCATTTTTTATCATATTAACTGCCTTTTCTTTTACACAATCCATTTTGTACGCGAAATTTGCTACCTTTTCTTGAACGGAATCTATTTTGTCCACGAAACTGGAACTTCTTTGGTGTTATCAATTTGTTTCGGTAATCCTCTAGGTTTTTCCAATACAACGATTATCTGCCCTTATGTCGTATCCATGCAATCAACCACCAGGCCTCGCGTTTTTGTAAACTTCCGTTCTTTCCAACTTGATTGGAAAAAAAATAGTCTCAAGTCGAAGAAATCTTATTCGTTTTCTATTGATTGAACGCGTTCTGACGACTGACAGACGCATCAACGTTTAGAAAAAATCATCACTAGGGAAAAGAACCGTGACAACGAGTTAAATTAATGCTGTAGGGTCCAGAAATAGGTGCTGAAGTGGGTTGGGGTATTTTTCCCACTATTAAAGCTTTCGTCCCTTGTAGAGTTTATGTATATAGGTGTGATTCTTTTTTTTAAACGTGGTTTTTCTTACCTGAAAGTTTCAGAATCCTTATTGAAGCAACTTTTAAAGTGTGTTTAATGCAGATACAAAATTTTGAAATTTATTTTACATCTGACAATCCGGAAGACAAGCCCCAAATGGTAATTATAATACATCATACGCAATTATAATAAATTTTATGCCAATGAAATTTTATAATTACAAATTTTAATAGCAAATATTGATTACATTGCAATACCTATTTTTTCCATAACTTTAATACTAATATTGCCATGTTGAACATGCTGAATGTTAGGTAGACAACATGTAAAAGAATAAATTGAAAACTGGTAAACTAAAACCAATACTTGGAGATTATTGGATGTACATATACAATGTAAGGAGAGCGGATGTGTCAACGGAAATTAATATATTCTTCTTTCATGTTCTAAAATAATTAGTAACAATGTGACAAAGAAATTTTTTTGTCTTTGGTATTTTTTTTTTATTATCTTACCCTATTTTTTTTTTTACAATACCTTGAAGACGAGTAGTAGAAAGAAATCATACAACTGGTGTTCTATTGCCAGTTTTTGTTTCTTAGGGGGGGGGGACATGTGTCATTATGGTGCAAAATGGAAAAGAATAAATAGGCCTATGTTAAAGAGAGAGAGACACAATGGATATGAGCGGCCTCCTTGGTAAACGGGTTAGATAAAAATATCTTACACGACCGCATATAGGACGCCACTTTATTTTTTTAAGGAGGGAGGGTCACAACCAAACATTTTCAGTTTGAAAAGGGGGCACTTTATGTATCAAACAAAATTCACTTGATAAGGAAAAGGGAAAAAAAATGTTAAAAGAAAATGAAGGAAAATCAGATGTTTTCAGACGTTGAGGAGCGCAAACATGAAGTAGCTAGATTTTGTACAGCATACCATACATCTGCAAAATTAGGGAGAAGCATAACCCCCCCCGTCCCTACTTCCCCCCCCCCCCCCGGTCCCAATCTTAGATTCAGTTTTACCAAAAAAATAAATGTGAAATCTGTGATAAATTTGAATAAATAAAAAGATAATACATGTATATGTAAATAACTCCCTTTCTTTTGGTCACTTAAAAGACAAAATTTACAAATTTGGTAGAAAGCATGCCCCAAAATAGATACATGTAATTAATTGATCAATGAAAGATTTTAAGTTTTTTCCCCTCAAACTCACCACTGAAAGCAATCCTCCAGTAATCGGACAGAGTCTTGTAGGAAGGAAACACAGAATGCCGGAAAATAATGACGGAAATGTCACATGTTTAAGTAGCAAGCTAGATGAACATCAATACAATCCTCAGCGAATTCTATTCAAATTTTATCATAATATTGTAAATAGAGTTCTTATAAATGCATTATGATCAAGAGTTAACAAGCCAATATAATGGAATTAACTCATTAAAAAAGAGAGAAAAACTATTTGTCAGAGAAACGTCCTTCTTTCCCGAAAGATAAAAAAATAGGAAATATTATTTTCAAAGATTGGTACCGGTGTCAGCGAGGGTTGGACATTTTATACTTTTAAAAGCACTCTTCATGGATATAAAATAAAACTTGCACAATCCATTGTAAGAAACTTCGAAAACATCATCGGGAAAAATATATTTGAAGTCTCTTTTAATCTATTTTATTTAATTAATTTAATTTTTATGCCCCCGTAATCGAGGGCATATAGTTTTTGCCCTGTCCGTCCGTCTGTCTGGCTGTTTGACCTACTTTTGGAAAAACGTTAACATTGGCCATAACTTTTAAACCGTTGATGCCAGGGCTTTCATATTTCACATGTGTTTACCTTGGTTTTTGGATACGAAAAAAAATTGACACTTTGACCTTGGCCTTGGAGTTGACCTACTTTTGGAAAAACGTTAACCTTGGCCATAACTTTTAAACCGTTGATGCCAGGGCTTTCACCCTTCAAATATGTAATCTTTGTAACAAAGTCTTCCTTTGGATACCAATAACTTTGAACCTTTGACTTTGACCTTGGAGTTTGACCTACTATTGCAAACTTTTACCTTGGCCATTACTTTTGAACGGTTGGTGCTAGGGCTTGCATATTTTACATCTGTAATCGTTGTCACAAGACCTTTCTTTGGATGTCAACAACTTTGACCCTTTGACCTTGGAGTTTGGCCTACTTTAGTAAAACTTTAAACTTGGCCATAACTTTTGAACGGTTGGTGCTAGGACTTTCATACTTTACATATTTAATCGTTGTAACAAGACCTTCCTTTTCATACCAACAGCTTTGACCCTTTGACCTACTTTTGAAAGACTTTAACTTAAGTTATAACTTTTGAACGGTTGGTGCCAGGCCTTTCATATTTCACATGTGTATTTTTTGTTAGAAGGCCTTTCCTTGGGCACCATTAATTTTGACCATTTGAACTTGATGTTTGACTTACTTTTGAAAAACTTTAACCTTTTCTCCTTATCTATTCAATGGTTGCTGCTAGGGTTTTCATATTTTAAAAGTATATTCCTCGAGACAAGACCTTACTTTGGGTACCAACATATTTGATTTGTATTTGAGAAAGTTTAGCTTTTGATATGAGTTAACATACGGGGGCATCAATGTCTCACAAACACATCTTATTTATTTATTATACTTAATTTTTCTAAGTATAGTAAAGTATTTTTATGCTAGAAATTTTTAATAGATTAGAATCATAATTATGCAAGACTTTAAACTTAACTCAAGTTTTTGGTCTTAGTCGCACTTTCTTTTGTAAAAGGGTCCCCTGATTTTAAATGTACTCTAGAAAGTAAATCATTTTTATGCCCCCCCCCCCCATTCAAAGAAGGGAGAGCATGTTGCTTTGCTGCTGTCTG